TGGTTCTCAAGAGTCAATTTTAAAAACATTGCTGGTTATTTTTATTTCTTATGGTCTCTATTGTCTTAAAGAATTTTCGACAGAAGTTTTAAAATGAAGAGGAGTTTGTGATGTCTTAGATTAAATATATATTAAGAATTTAATGGACTATATTATTAATAATACAGGTTTGGCAATAGTCCTAAAAGATATAATAAGTTTATCGAATTAAAAAATAAGCTCGACATCGAACCTACGTAGAAATTTGTTTTTTTTTTTTTTAATTAATAAAATGTATTAGTCGTTGTCGTTCTTGATTTCGTAATGCAAGGTAAGAAAAATTACAATGTAAGTAAAATTACAAGGCATGACAAGTTACAAAGAGTACTATAGCAATTTGATATTGCATATATTTATATTGTCCAAAACTGATACAACGTCTCTTCCGATTACAGCAACATTCGTAATTTTAGTGACACGAAATAAAATTAGACAATATTATGATACAACTAAACAGAAGGAGATTACATTATTTTTTTTTGTTAAGACATCAGTTTACAGAGCATAAGTGAAAAGAGTTAATGCACATTAGTACGACAGAAAAGAAAAAAAAATTAATGTGCTACAAATATGTGAACGTAGCGCGTTGCTTGCAAGCAATCGCACGAAAAAAAAAAACTTAATTAGTTGATGTTATTTGAATACTAACTTTAGTTAATGGCTTTTAGAATACACGCATTATAATGTGCAGGCATTGAAAAAGTTTTATAAACGGCTATTTAAATTTTTAACAACGTCGAGAATGATACATTTCTTTAATATAGTCGAAAATAATATACTCACATTTCAAAAAATTCTTGTAATAGTCTAGAATAGATCTTTCAAGTACCACTAAATATTTATTTATACATCGAAAATATATAGTTTTATTTGTAAACGGTTTATAGGTTTATAGTAGCAGAAGAAATTAAGATAACAAATAAATATGCCTATTTCTTTCTTATATACTAGAGGAAGCAGCGAATATATGGACATCCTTTAACAAGTTGATCACCGCTGCCCATGAGAGTACGAACACGGGGGCCGGGCGGACCGTCGAGAGCCTCGATCTTCGTTGTGGTTCTCTTAAAAAGACGCAAACCCTTTTTTAAAGTTCTCGATTCGTTTAGTTTTTACGGCTGCCGATGGAAATTCGTTCTGCAGTAAAAATTTTCGCGTAAAATGTAATACGGTGGATCACCCATTGTAACCCAGCGTTGGTTATACGGCGGTGACACTTAGCTGTTACTTTAGGCGAAGCAATTCCACGCAGTATTCTTATCGATATATGGGATAGAATATGCAGAGCTGAATTGTGAAGACGGAAGGTCAAGCTGACTGGTTTGACGGGGGAAGTCTATGTTAAGGAAAAAAAAACGCTAGGCAGAAAAAAAAGGATTTAACTTAGTAATTGTATTTCATTAACGATCTCTTATGCAGTAAAGATACAGAAAAGACCGCATGGTGCTTCCATTTCGAGGAGGGGTTTGAACACCAAATCTCATCCCGTTTATGACCGGAGATCGCTACCGGACTGTTCGAAGATCAAAGCGACATCACGCGCTTGAGCCGGTATTTGTATGCGAGAGCGTCGGGCCACCGGTGGACGAATAAAAAATACAGTTTATTTCGAGTCGCTAAAAAAAATATCATTCAACAAAATACGGAAGGTTTTGCCGATTTTAGCACAACCAGAAATTACTATGCGAAGCACAGGCTGTACCGTAACAGACGGATAAGCAAAAAAAAAACTATACAGCTAAAGAGCTCCACACCGTACCGATACAACCAGTTTACCTTACATACCAATTCGATCTACCTTCGCTATGCAGATGTGTATGTACGGCGAAACATTTATGGACACCTATACGTATATATTGAAATAGAAGCGTGTGTGTGGTTTTAGATTCTCAACGAATGTAATACGCCTTCTCGCAAATTAGGATGTTAAAATAACCGTCATCATCATCATCATCATCATCATCGCTCAACCTTCAGCCAGTCGCAATGACTGAAAGGGACAAGTCCCGATACACCGAAGGGAGCGTAAATATCGGGGGGAGTGTAGGTTCTAGCTTGGATTATGAGTGACGGGAGTGTAGAGCCAGCCGGTATTCGTGCAACCTTTAGCCAGAAACTGAATTCGGGATAGGTAGTAGATACTATAGTGTGTCAATAAATATAGTGGGGGAAGTAGCAATGTTAAAATAACCGTCATCACATTAATGGTTTAATTGAAAATCTACATATTTATGGTAATTGTTTAAATTATAAATTATAGGTACTAACTTCGACATAAAGTCTGGATATTTTGGATGTGATTTCTAAAGGGATAAAAAGACATCTAATTTTGCTTTGGAAGGAAAAAAATAAACGATTATGTTGATTTTAGGCACTATGAAAGTTATATGTATTTTTATATAATTTCAGAAATGAGACTATTAACATACATTTTGTGGGATCACTCCTCAATAGAGATTGACAAGATTAAGCAAAGTGTATGTAAAATAAAGTACATTGTATTGTGTGTTAAAAAATAATTTGGTGCAATCGAGTAATAAATATCATACACAAGAAAACAAAACTTCTAAAAATATTTATTTTTTATATTGAAATCATCGTCGTAGAGTTGGCAAGATGTTACAATGAATAGACATTGTCGGTTTTTTTGTGTCTACAGATGGCATATATTAATGAAATCCATTAGTATGGATTACATCTTCTATATTAATTAATCAAATACTAGTAATATTACTGATTCATTGATGATAAATCGAATTACTTTTACACTGTCAAGTTACCCAACCTATATTCAAACCTGCATTTAATGATATTTGAGTTGGACCCGAATTGAACTTAGGAATATAACAATGTACTTAAAATTTTGATAAAAAAAGGAAGAAAAGAAAGATATCTGCAGTTCTCAATATAGACTAAATGTTTTAAGGGTTAAACTGTCCTACCGATTTTAATAAAATGTGGCAGACAGGTAATTTGGGACACAGAGTGCATTATAATTTACATGCTATTCCATTTCAATAAGCAAATCGTAAGGGGTGTAAAAACGTTTTCACGATTCAAAATAACGAAATTTTTGACACGGGCGATTTGTAGAGAGGTGATTTGTCGTCTGGAAGTCACAAAATTAGTGTTGTCATAAAATTCGCTCATTAATGTGAAGGAGGGCATTTAAAAGATAGCAACCACCTATTGAGGTTGCTGGAGGGATGTTGATCATCTTTTTAATGTCGATATCGATCCATAATCAGACCGGTATCGAGATGGAAAGGACCGACGAGCGGTTAAGAGTCGAGGACGGAAACGTGAGCGAAGTTGGGATTGGTAAGATATCTATGTTCTTGCACTGAAAGCGGAAGATAAAAGGTAGGTTTTGTTTAAGAATAAAAATAGGGCAATAAAATGAATATTCTTGTAATAGTTTAAAAAAAAACTGAAACTTGAAGACTTTAATGTCATAGGGAAATATTTGCCTCGACTCCGGGGTTGAAAAGGTTGAAAACTTAGGAAATAGATACGTGGGTCATAAGAGCTTTAATAATTTTGTTCTATAGTATTATGAAAAAATATGTAATTCGATTTTAAAATCGAGCTCTGATTTGTGTTCTTTGCACATTTTAAAACTAGAAGAATATTACAAGGACAAAATTTTGACCGTTTTGAGTCTGGCAAATTCTCATAATGAACATTAAGACTTTACACCTTTAGGGTTGTGTAGCCAAAGGTAAAAGAGAAACTCTGACGGTTTCGTCCTACCCGTCTGTCCGTACGTGGGTCCGTATGTCACAACCTTATAATTCCGCCATTTTTTAATCGAATCTGATGAAAACGTACAAACTGATGTCTTAATAAAATCGTCATATAATTATTTATGAACATTACAAAAAAAATTTGGAATAGATATCAATTTATAAAATTAAATGATTTTTTTTTACACGCATTCCATTGAATGTTCTCACCTTGGATAGGTATTTAAAATGCCATTATAGGTTTTTAAATGAGATTACTTTGAAGGAAATTATTTATATATTACACTTAATGAAATTACTTATACATATATTATACTATTAATTACGTTGCAAAATTGTTAAATTTATAATCCGGTTTCTGATTATGGAACGTTAGTTCAAAAAATCTAGAAAATCACAGTAATAGAGCTTTTTGTAAATGAACACATTGAAAATTATATATATTTGTACCCATATTATTTTGGAATACAAATTTTAAATTTATAAAAAGCGACTTGATGCCCATTTGATTTAAATTTTGGGTAATTGTGGATTTCAATCGTAATATTATTTCGTAATACTTATTTTGAACATGGGGTTCTTGTAGAAAATAGATCGAAACTGTTAATGATTACTGTATTATTTGTTTAGACCGTAATGGATGAAATTAAAAGTTATTGTATTACGTGTCAAATAGACTTAAGTGTTTTTGTTTATGTTTATTATCCTCTATGAAAAAGAAACGAATTATGTTACTTTCAAACTTAAGTTTTCCATATAACATTTTCCGAAAATAAATCGTGGTCGTACAATAATAAATTAAAATTAGCACGGCTCTTACAAGGATTCAGTTAATTTTATTTGGTAATAATTACTAGACTTCAGAAAATTTGTTAGCATTTTTTCTTCACACTATACCTGAATGTGACTGTAAACATTTCATAAATGCAGTGAAAAGAGATCTAATTATATAAAAAATATATCGAAGTCTGCAACTACATTTGCGTTCAGTTGCAATCATTGCTCCCTTTAAAATCATTTTACTAGCCACAGATCTAAAGAAAAATGTTTCGCAACGAAGCATCTTATTGCACGTCACTCCCCAGACAATTGGCTAATGAAAGCCAGTCCGATAAGAGTGTTAAGCGTGTATCCGACACGCCACTTTTGCTGCAGCCGGCATTACAAAAGCTTCTCGTAGTCGTCTATTATACACCGTCAATCGCCAACGTCCTCCGATACCACATCGAATGCGCCGGCTCTCGTCCGATCAACGAGGTTAAGCGGCGCCGGCGCGATCGGTACTTGGATGGGTGACCGACCGGGAACACTGTGTGACGTTAACTTTTTTAAAGTAATCGATGGCCGTTGCATTTTTATTTTACAATAATCGATAATACTATGTTCATGTTAATAATATAAAAACTAATAATTAATTAAAATTTTATTAGCGTTCCCTATATTTTTTTTTTGTATTTTTCATTTACTTTCTCTCAAAAGTTATAACTTATTTCATTGCGATTTTTACTTTATAATACGTAATGTATTGTAAAAGTGGACATAACATAAACTTTGTTCCAGCCGGTTGTCCCACGACATCTCTCGTTTTAATTTTTTCTCATAACTTTCATTCATAATTTAATGTCAACATCTAGTTAGAATGAATACTCATTATCATAATAATTTTGTGAACAAGATTTTAGGATTTGTAATGTACATTCAAATAAAGCTATAGATTGCTGTTATTTTTGGACACTTATATCAAATAGAGCACTTAAGTTGATATAACAAATATGTTCATACAAAAATAAAGATATGTTGATGGATATTCATCGGTTCTTATACAAGGATAAATAAAACGAGATTTTTTTCTTTGTATCATAAAAAAAAAAACAGAATTATGGACATCTTTCGGTAAATGTAATAATCATCTGAACTAATCACAAGCAAGTCAGGGTTGTATAATTAAAAAATATTTTTCATCCCTCCAACAGATGGCGCTCTGTAATATTTTGCAGAGAATGATAAAGTCGACGACAGAGGGCAGTCAAAGACGCGACTATAGCAAAATTGTTAGTAAATAAAGCAGAATCCAGAACGATAATTAGTGTTCCTTAATATTTTTTTTATGTCGACCATTTTATTTATTAATTATTTGAAAGATCCAACTTATGTTACCAAATAATTATGTCTTTTAGGTTCATTTTCGTCGCCCATCAGTCAGCTGAGTGCAGCGTGGGCGGCGGCAGCTTCGCCTGTGACGTCCCTCGCTCTGACGTCACCGTGTTGATAACGGTTATTGCGTCCACTCACCACCCATCGAGCTTTTTATTATACCTTCGTCAACGCGATGGCGTCTTTAGTGATTCTATCAATTGCGAAACGTTGGTTACTTTTAATTACCCCATTACGCTGATGTGATGTTTATACTGCTGACGTATTTTATATTTAAGTAGTATTTTTTTAACGGATACTTTGTCATACATAATATTCAACGGATGTTTTGCTTACAATCGTTTACAAACAAATATATAAAAAATAATAATATTTGTTTTTGCTATTGCAGATATTTAAATTCAATATTCGTGTGATAAAATGTTCACTCTGAAGGAGGAAAAATATAATAATTTCATTCCTTCTAAAAAATATGCCGAGACCAAGATCATTCGTAATGCATTCACGTCCGGTTCGATGACGTAGTCCGCAATTCATATAACATCAATTTGCCTACTGCTTTGAATCTCGAGTAAACAAATGAGAAAGTGTGTTATTCCTCCATCGATTCTTTCTTTCTTTACGAAATTTACTTTATAAAGCGGTTTTTAATTTTATGTATTCCCTTTTGAAAAGAATATAAGTTAGTAAAGAACGATGCAAATATTTATATAAATACACGCCAAACACATAATTAGGCTCATTTAATTTGAAATAGTGGTGATATGAATAAAAAATGTGACCAAGTTATCAATAACGCAACCTTATTTTTTTTTGTATAGAGATGGCGCAAGCGCCATTAATAATATCCAATGTGCACAACAGTGTATGATGTCCACCCCCGATAGGAAAGTGTGTCGCGAGAGACCATTGACTGGATGCGCTAGGGCTATTGGCAGGGAGCAACCTTAGCGTGAGCAAAATGTAGGGCAATGGTAGTGTAGCCATCAACCCCACGATAGCCGAATGTGGTGAAAACGGCGTTATGGGGATGTAAGAACCCGTTTGCATCTCTATAGGCTGTTATTAATAAACAATCATATACCTGTGATCTGATATAACTGTAATAAATTCATGTATTACCCTGTATTGAAAAATATAAGTTTTTGCTTTTTTTTTTTACAGTTTATATGCTTGATGTTTTGAAATGGACTCGTTAAAAAGTAAACAGTCAATTTACTGCATTGTTAGTTTCATACCAAGCAGACATGTTTGAATAAATTGGGCCATAAACGAATAAAAACTGTAACAAATTATTTTTAACGTGGCCTATATGGAACTTATTAGGGTAGATCCACTTAGGTAATTTATTTTGATTTACTTTTCATTATGATTTGAGGTTTATATTGATCGTAAAAGCTAGACTTTTTTAATTAGTTATATAAAGAATTGAAGATATATTTATTAACTAGTGGTTAAAATAAGGGTAAAGTCCCTTTTTAAACATTTTTTGCGGCGGCTTACACTAAATAAAAAGTAATTAGTAAAGTTAATCCGTAAGACTTGACAAATTGTCCATACATTATCTCTCAAATGTTACGGATTACTTTTCGCATGCGTTTTTACTTATAGTGCAGCCCACCGTTGTAAATTAGATAAAAAACATTGAGTTGGATGTTAGAAACGCCTTACGTGTGGCATAGTCTTCATGTTTATTACATATAAATTGGTTTCTGAATTAATGTTTGTACATTCTATCAACTACCACATAAAAGATTCTACTAATAGAATTTAGTAAAATTACTGTCGTTATCGTTTTATTAATATTATAAACGTTAAACTTTGTATGTTTGCATGTTTGTTACCCGATTACGCTTTAACCGCCGAACAGAATTATTTGAAACTGTACAGTAATATAGTTCATATATCAGAATAACATATAGGCTATAACTTATAAAGATAATTTTGCTCGCGAGTATGTTTGCTTGATCGCAGAAGGAATTCTTTATTTATGCCGATCGGTTATTGGTAAAATAATGTTCAAGATAAAAAGCAGAGCCGGGACTGAAATCGATAGCAGGGAGAATATCGGGATCGTGGTTCGACAGGGCGATCGGTCGATATAAACGATAAAAGAGTTTTACGTACACGCGGGAGGAGCCGCGGGCGGAAGCTGTATAGTTAACAAATAAAACTTGACACCGACGATGTGGGTCAGCTCTAACGTAATGAAATTCAGTTTAATGATGCTTCCAGACCGACGGGGCTTCGAGTACATTCGCGCCCGCAAACAACGCCCGCACGCCGGAGCCTCGCACACGGCCGCCGGATATGTACGACGCTGCACGCGCGAGTGCCGTCGCCGGCGGCGGCGCTTAACGCGTGGGCGGGCCCGGCCGACGTGACTCTTGCTGATTCTACATCTCGAGCGTATTTCGATGATCGTTATTTCTATTTTTCCGTTTTCGTTCGACTTTCCCTGTTTACCGCCATTCATTTCGTTAGTTAGCACGCTCGCTTGGAATTCAGCAGGTGCGAGTTCGCATTCGGAATTGTGTCGGACCGTTTTTATGGTTCCGTACACCCGATGAAAGAGCGGAACCCTCATACGATGACTACGGCGCCTGTCCGCTTATCTCTCTGTCGTAGCTTATTTTCTCCGAATCTACTGGATTAAACAGTTGGTGTTTAATTAGAGGACTCAATTATAGATAAATAGCTTACATAAACGTACACTGGGATGTTAATTTTGGGAGTCAACTAACAAATAAAAAAAAATAACGAGTGCTTGTATTACATAAAAAGAAGGTTTTATTATTAGTAACGCAAACATAATATTTCTTATAATTCTAAATTGTATAGTTCAAAAGATATTGAAGAAAAACCACGAAAATAAAGCGTTTCTTCCCTCGATCTTATAACTGGAAACCACTGACAACCAAAATACAATTTTGAACAAAATTGGCCAAGAGCATGTCGGGCCATGCTCATTATAGGGTTCCAAATCCATTATCACAAAGAAATACACTACAGATGAAAAAACTGCGTTGTTACACTTTTTCCATGTTTCCCGCACAGAATAGTTATAAGCAGTTCAGTCATTTATAACTACAAAAACAAGTAGATGCGTGGACCACTACCATTAAACTAGTGTAAACTAAAGTGCATCAGAAAAAGAGCGTATCTTCATGGCACTTATGTCCTTTGGTTGAGAATCGCAGTTTTTCGAAAATAACTCAAAAACGAAATTATTATTCACGTTATCACGAAAATTGCTTTGAAACTTTAAAGTGTTTTTTTAAAAGAACTGTCTAAATACGTGCCACATGTTGAGGTTTGTTAAAAAATTTTTTTTTTCAACTTCTGTTATATCTATGGAGTGCCTCCCCTAGAAATATTTATTTTTGTTATCTAACTATCAAACTAAGTAGCGGTTTACAAAAGACATCTACATTATAAATTTCATAAATATACGTTATGTAGTTTTTGAATAAAATGTCTGTAACATACGGACGGACGGACGGACATGCTAAATTATAAAGGTTCCGTTTTTGCCATTTTAGCTCGGAACCCTAAAAACAAGACCGAATGAAGGAATTATCAAAACGAAAATTCTTTTAGTTTTCAAATACTTACAAGAAAAGCAAATTATAATGAAGGGAAATAAATACAAAATATATCGCTTAATTTTGCCGAGGACTAATGTGATCACTGCATTTGCAGTACGCTACCCTCTCTAGACGAGTCGGACACGCGCTTGACCGAATTTTTCTAACTAACTGATAATTAGATTAAGGTTTGAATATGAATTGTCGGTTGCCTTAAAGGAAAATGTCACTATGAAATCTACAAGCAGGAAAAGGTTCATCATGAAATTTCGCCGCTGGCCTGACATGCATTATGTCACCTAATACTAAGAGAAGACCCGTGCCCTGCGATATGTATAGGCCGCATCTAGTGTTCGTCGAGCGATGGTGCCGAGCGGTTTGAAGTGTTGTACATCAGAAAGCGTCGGGCTTAAGTCCTGATTAGGGGCGAAACAAAGAAGGAGTTTTGAATTAAAGTGAAATTAAACTATTCACTCCACGTCTAAGAGTCATATTAAGCCGTCGGCCCGGACATTGGCCGGCGACGGCGGGTCGTTAGCCGGCCTCACGTGGAGGGCTCAAAGGTCTAGGTCTGCCCCTT